CCCCGGCGGAATCGCTCCATTGGAGAGCAAAAGTGCTACTGCCCAAGGTCCGCCTCGAGACGGCGGCGCTCCGTCTCGAAAGTCTTCTATTTATTTTTTCTAGGGAAAATGGGATTATATACCAGAAGATGGGTACCGGAGGTTGGCCAGGGGCCCCACAAGCCACCAGGGCGTGGGCACGTCGTGGTGCCTCGTGGGCACCTGGGTGGCCCCTCTGGTACTTCTTTTCTCCAATATTTTTTATTAATTTCAAAATAAATCTCCATGAAATTTGAGCTTATTTGGAGATGTGCAGAATAGGTATCTCTGACATAGCTTTTTCAGGTCCAGAATTCCAGCTGCCGACAATCTCCCTCTTCATGTGAATCTTGCATATTAAGAGAGAAAAGACATTAGAATTGCTCCATAAAGTGTCATATTGATTAAAAAACTATAAATAACAGTAGGAGAACATGATGCAAAATGGACGTATCACAGGATAAAAACAACAATTTTGTGTCTTAATCGGCAGTTCATCCTGTCATCTCCCTGTCCGCCGCCTCCTCCTTCTGGATCTCATCGCCAGTAGCACACCGCAGTCGACAGGCCAGCAATCAACCCCAAGGCAGTCGGGTCAGCAGTTGAGCACCATGAAGGGGGTTAGCCACATGAGAAGGCATGTGCAAGAGGTTGATTTGGTAAGGGGGTGCTCACCTCGGCTCAATGTGCCAGTTGATTTTTGTGGCGGTGCAGATCGAGCAGCCGATGTAGGGTGGTGCAGATTGAACGACCGATGTAGATGTAAAGGACGGTGTCACAGTGGAGAAGCAGAGACATGGGATCGAGGTCGTAGGGGGAAGCGCTCACTTGAGGAGCAGGATGCACTGACGGCCGCGGTGGGTAGGTGGAAGCTCCTAGAGGGAGGAGCGCCGGAGGATCTGCCGGTGCGAGGATGATGGCAATGGCGACGTGGACGGCTGTCTCGGCGGTTGGCGCTCTTCCCGATGATGGCTACATGCGGCCATCGCCTTTGTCTGGTCGTGCTCCATGGCGTTTCTCGGTGTTCGCCAGCCGTGCCCCTCGCGTTGCTGCTCACACCCGTGTTTAGGGAAGGGGGCAGGGGTGGCGGTGCGAGGGGGATGGACCGAGCAGTGGCGGCGGCAAGCTCGGCAATGAGAAAGGAAGGGGGAGCGTGGCAACTGTGGCAAGAGAGAAAGAGAGGGGCGCGACGGGGATAGTGGCTAGGGTTTCACCTAGTCAAGTGCGCTCTTCTCCTTATGTGCAACCAAGCCATTCACGGGACGCTACACAAGTGCCTCGACGTGAAATCCCACAAATACCATCGGCGGGCAAGAGAAACTACAAGCGGTGGCCCGACCCGCACGCCCATTCAAACCAGCAACACCCGCTTTCACAGTCTATGACAGCGGCGGCCCACCTTGCCCGGGTCCCACCTGCCATGGAGAGGTAGGAAGGCGGAACGCGTGAAAAACGAAGGGCGAAAGAGATGCACTATTCATTGGTTTTCATCAGACATGATCCGACGACCAGGATCGTCTCATCACAAGATCGGATGGCCTGAATTTGTTTGGAAGCCCGATCGGACGGTCCAGATAGCACATGCCCGGAGAAGGCTTCATTTCATCTCAGAATCTAACAATGGGATGGTATTTTTGAGTATCGTATTTTGCATCATCAATCATCCGTTGGAGATGCTACGTGAGGAGGCTTGTCAGCAATTCCTGTTGTGGGATATTTCTTGGGCTGGCTTTCAGCCAGGGCGTCTAGAAGATCCACACCTTTGACGACGGGCAGCAGCTATTAATTTACTGCAAGAAAAAGAAAAGTCAATCTAGAGCTAGAATTGCTTCCTGACACGTTGTTTGAACACACAACTCTCTGCAAAACGGCTGATAACAACCCACAATCATCGTTTCTACACGGGATCCCATCCCGAGGCCGAGCCCGCGTGTGGTGCCGAGCAAACTTTTGTACGGAGGACGGAAGACGCGGTGCTCGCGATGAAACGCGGATCTTTCGATCCATGAACGAACGAAGCCGCGTACGTACGTACGCAGGGTGGTAGACCCGTCAGCGCGGCCACCCACCGCGCGTGCGCGTGCCCGAGCGCGCAGGGAGGCAGGCAGCCAGCCCCACGACGGACGGAATTCTCTCTCATGCAGCCGGGTTTAGCTGGGTTGGGCCGAGGCGTGACCCAGAAACGTGGACTCGCTGGAGGCGGGTCAGATGGTCAACCGGTCAGTGCGTTCGTTCGTCCTTTGCCCCCAAAACGAACAAAAGCGACGCGCTCCGCCACAAGCCGAGACCCGGTAAAACTTCCGCCTGCTTTGCTCTCCTCTCCCCCGCCTACCTCCTCGGCCTGTCCACAACACCACCACGAGGGGTCGGTGGCGGCGGCGCCGCAAAACATTCGGTTGGCTCGTCCCGGTGGGAACTGCCCGCAGCTCCACCCATCTGCTTCCGCCGCACCTACCAGCGCATCGTCTGCTCCTCGACCAGGTTGGCTACTACCCCTTCGGGCTTACCGGGTTGCCGAAAGTCTAGCTGATGATTAGTGTCGCCGTACAAATTTACAAGCTGGAGTAGGTTTGTAGCTTCCCTGCTTGTTCCCCTCCGTCGACTGCCGCGATCCGGTGGAGTAGGCCCGTGTGTGTGTGCGTTGTTTGCTCAATCGTGCCGAGATGGTTAATTTCGTCCCCTCGACAGCTCCGGGCGCAGATTAGAACTGGCTTCGGATAAAGGTCTCGGGGAGGCCACGGATTCGACGCATGGGGAGCTCCGCCAGCTGCCTCTGGAGCGGCTCCAAGTCGGAGCCAGGTCCAAATGGTCTAGCGGCCGCGGCGGCGTCTCCTCGTTCTGGTACGTTTCATTTGGTTCCATTCGTGTGCTAATGATTAATTGATAGTCCTGCTTAAAGCTTTCCAACATTCTACTCTTCGAATTTTAAGAACATACTTGCTGCTTGACATGGAAAGAGTGGGGGATTTGCTGCAAATCTGTCCTGCTTAGCCAACCAGTTTATGGTATCTCCTTACTAGTTGTTCCAATTATTCTAGTGTTGCAGATGGACGAGTGATGAGAAATTTAGGGTGCCTTCCCTAGTTAGTGCCTTGATAAAAGTCAATTTAACAATGGGGCTGAAGCACAGAGACTTCCATTAATACAAACCACAGAACACTATGAATTCTAACAGCAAAATGGTGTACCTTAATGTTTTGTAATAGGAAAAAAAAATTAGATGTTTGTCGGCTTTTTCATACATATGATAGTGCTATTGGTATGATGTTCCCTTGAAGACAAGGCTAGGCCCAAAATTCCAAAACATTGCAGCAACATAAATGCTTTATGAGCATAATCGTAAGTTCACGCAAAATAATACACCAGACTGAACCAGCCTTTTGTGTTCTGCATTTCTTTTATGTTACCTGTGTCATCTGCAACTCAGGCTTAAATGAAACATTTCCTACACCAGAGGTTGTGTGATCCATCAAAAACTATACCATGACACACATCTGGCAATATCATAAGCAAGAAGAAAGATCAATTTTTCTATCTCAGTTTCTTGAACTAGTAAGCCGAGGTTTTGATATGTTTAATCATCTAACTGAGAGGATCTTGGTCATAACCATGGCACCCTCAAATCCTCAACCATAATGTTTACTATTATATGTTTCAGTGCATTTTTGCTCGGCCTTTCCTTTTTAACTGCCAATGATGATGTCAACTCTGAAAAAAAGTTCAGGCCATGTATTATCAAGATCCGGACGAAATATACAAGTCTTCTCCCTAAAAGAGTTGAAATCTGCCACACGGAATTTTCACATGATGAACTGCATTGGCCGTGGGGGTTTTGGACCAGTTTATAAGGTGAATCATTGGATCGTATTGCTGCCTTCTTACTTTATACTCCCTCCGTTCCAAAATAGATGACCCAACTTTGTACTAACTTTGGTACAAAGTTAGTACTCCCTCCGTCCCAAAATTCTTGTCTTAGATTTGTCTAGTCTAGATATTATACGGATGTATCTAATATCTAGACAAATCTAAGACAAGAATTTTGGGACGGAGGGAGTACAAAGTTGAGTCATCTATTTTGGAACGGAGGGAGTATGTCGTATGTTATCACTGCTCATTAGTCATACTTTACTGCCAATGTTCTCTTTTGGAAGAATGAATAACAGTGGTTCTCCTTCGCTTAGGGAGACCTGAGAGATGGCACCCAAGTTGCAATTAAAAGGCTTTCAGCTGAATCAAAGCAAGGAACTAATGAGTTCTTGACAGAGATCGATGTCATATCAAATGTGAGGCACCCCAACCTTGTAAAGCTCATTGGTTGCTGTGTCGAAGGGAATAACAGATTATTGGTGTATGAATATGCGGAGAACAACAGTTTGTCAAATGCTTTGCTTGGTAAGTTTAAGACTGGAATTTTACTTGCACAAAGTCTGACCTGTGTATTAACTTTCATAATCCTGTGCATTACCTTGTGATCAGGACCAAAGAGTAGATGTATTCCTTTGAACTGGCAAACAAGAGCTGCCATTTGTACTGGAACTGCTTCTGGTCTTGCATTTCTTCACGAGGAAGCACAACCACGCATAGTCCACCGTGATATCAAGGCTAGCAACATCTTACTTGATAAGACGCTGGTTCCTAAAATTGGAGATTTTGGACTGGCCAAGCTTTTCCCTGATGCCATCACTCACATTAGCACGCGTGTTGCCGGAACAATGTCAGTCCTCTCTATATCTTTTGGTGTATTTACTTGCTTTTACAGTGTGAGTTATTTGTATTTATGTAGATTTTCTCCGGAACAAATATCGTGCAGTACTTACTTTTAATGATGAAAGCAAAAATATTTCAATCAGCTGCCTTCAGTTACTTTTCTCCCAGTTGAACCAATTGACTTGTGATGCTGTCGAGACTATTAGTTGTATTTTGCTTTTTCCGTAACGACAAACTTCTATTGACATTTGCGGATATGATCTCTCCTGCAGGGGTTACTTGGCTCCAGAGTATGCATTATTGGGACAGTTAACCAAGAAAGCAGACATATATAGTTTTGGGGTGCTGCTTCTTGAAGTTATAAGTGGTGAAAGCAGCAGCAAATCGACTTGGGGGGAAGATATGCATGTCCTTGTGGAATGGGTAATTCACTTTCGCCTCTTCTTTCTCCATAGGATGCAATACCATGCTTGTATAGCTGCAGCATCATAAATCTGCGCACAAAAAGTCCTAGATTTCCCCATGGTAGACTCGCATCACATATTGGTGATGCTGATCCTATTTTTTCTTTTGCATAATTGACTTGGACTGAACTGCAGACATGGAAGCTGCGAGAAGAAGGGAGGCTTTTGGAAATTGTAGATCCAGATGTGGAAGAATACCCAGAGGAGCAAGTACTTCGTTTCATCAAGGTGGCACTTTTGTGCACCCAAGCAACAGCACAGCAGAGGCCATCCATGAAGCAGGTGGTCCATATGCTAGCTAATGAAACAGAAATCGATCTTCAAAACGCCGTCCCACCGGGTGTGCTGAAAGAACCCCGTCGTAAAATGGGCAGTTTGGGGGATTTGGCTCTGGACACGTCCTCGAGTCAGAGCACCAGAGCCAACGTGGCTGGCTCCTGCACCACACAGACCAGAGACATGAACAGCTGTAATTTTAGCACAACGGAGGTTTCACCTAGGTGATGTGGTGGACCAACTTGCAAACTTGTTTGCCACCTCCATCAGAGTGCCATGAGGTTTTGATGCGTCGAGTGCTGACGAGGTTTTTGTAGAAATGGAAAATTGCACATAATGTACTTGAAGCCCTGATTCAGGAGATAGACAGGATGCTGAGGGGAGTAGCTGTGAATTGCTGCTGTACAGAATGTGCACTTCACTTCTTCAAAGTTTAACACATGTTATTCTTTAGTGCTTGGTGTAGAGACGCGTTGCACAAGCATTATGTCGTTGGAGCTTCCCAACAGAAGGCAGCATATGAGATAGATGTCGCGAGGAACAGGCTGAACAGTTCCGTCCGTGCATATAACCCTAGTCACAATTTTAATTTCATAAGTTTACTTTTCTTCATGTAGAGTGAACATGTGTAGAAATTATGGTCAGTTTCTGCAGACCGTTGATACATTGTACTTTTTGTTCACGGTTGGATGTTGCAGTTTATAATTTTTTTACTGGACCGCACCTAGGGTAGCCCAATTGGAGCCAAATGTTTTCTCATGGGATCTTTGAATGACACTTACACATGTCAGGAAAGAAAAACTCTTCTGTTCCAAACGGAGTTACCCTCCGTTCACAAATATAAGATGTTTTATCTTTTTTCTGAATGTATAAAGAGACGTTTTAGTGTGTTTGTTCACTTGTTTCTATCCGTTTGTAGTCCATATTAAGATATTCAAAACATCTTATATTTGTGACGAAGGGAGTGCTGAGAATGAAATTATAAATATGACAATACCAAGACAACAAAGATATATTGTCAACGCCAAATGATTTTGACATTGCAAGCTTTGTACTCTTAATAAAGTACAGTATTTCAAATGTCAATATATGAATCCAATGCGTGTGTGTGTGAAAAAAAGTAGTTGTTTCATCTATATATTTGAATTGGGTGCAAGTAAAGATAATGAAGGGTGAATTCGGTGCAAGTAGAATGAATGTGCTAGGCTGGAAATATAGGTGATGTATACTAACATAACTACACCCTACATAGGATTGTAGGCAGTAGCCTATTTGATTCATAGCTTTCTAGGAACACAAAATGTAGTAGGAATACGTGTAAGACATGAACGTACATGTTTGGCTCGTAGAATTCTAGAAAAGAGGTGGTGGGTATGTCTTACCATTTTAGAATGTTTCGGAATTCCTTTTGATTCTTAAAAAAAATACTCCATTGGCTAATTCCGTTGAATCAAATGTAGCTAAAGTGAAAATCCTTTAAGAACAGGATGCTTGTGTTTTTCCAATGGGATTCCTTTGGATGAGGGCTTAAGTGTTTGTAAGCAAAGTTTAGATTATCCAGTAAGACACACTATATATGCTTCCAAACAAGACTCATAAAACAAAGCAAACATCAACCTTTCCGATGAGCAAAATACATCTTATTAGAGCTCTAGATTTATTCAATTCACGGGAGACAGTAGAAGGGTATTGTTTCTTTCTTCCCAACATGAACTGGGTGAAGAAACAATGAACAACTTTCCAACATGAACCGGGTGAAAAATGATGAACAACTAAAAAAACAACTTGGCACTCTATTCTTTGTCTACAAAAGCCGACTCTGCAAGATCAATTGCCCGAGCTAGGGCAGCTGCCTTATTCTCACATTCTTTTTGCTCATCGTCTGGGATACTATCAGCAACAATGCCCGCACCAGCCTGAAGGTGAGCAACCCACTCTCGGCGTCTATCTGAGCTTTTGTATGAGTACATTGTATTGTGGCTTGGAGCTGTTGAGAATACAATGGTGCGGAGAGCAAGAGCGATAAGCATGTCACCATCAAATGATATCCCTCCTAAGCCACCACTGTATGGTCCTCGTCTTGTGACTTCCAACTGATCTATTAGCTCCATGGCTTTTACCTGGTTATGTCAAACAAACTTTTAGAGCATAGCAATTTATTTAGAATAGAAAGGCACATTGATTGCTAAAAATATGTCAGTAGCTATAGCTGACTATTGTATGAATAAAGGATCTAAGCAATTCAATTGGAGTTTAGAGCACAGAGTACAATCTGAATTTTTTTTATCCAGTGATCTACTCCCTCTGTCCCATAATATAAGAACGTTTTTGACACTAGGACGGAGGGAGTAGCATGTATCAAGAATCCAGACAAACCATATGGCTAATATTTTGAAAATGCAAACTAACAATATCTACCGAGAAGAGGCAAAATGATATACATCGATTACAAAATTCTTCACGGTGCAAAGAGGCAATAAAGTTGTCAAACAAGTGCTTGACAAAAATAGAAACTGGTTAAGTTGGAGAGTATGTCCATATAAGAAGGTTGGAAGAAAGAGTTAACCTTTGGCGCCCCACTGACTGTTCCAACAGGCAATGCTGCTCGCAGTGCATCCCAGCTTTCAAGGCGATCATCTAACTCTCCACTGACCTGCATAGTGTTCAAAGTGAAATTACATTGGTGTTCGACATAACTGCAGAAAGCAATAATCCCTTGCCAATCACCATACATACCTACTTTTGTTTTATTAGAAGTTCTAAATGACAAACCAAGTCCTTATCTAGTGACAATTTTAATATGGGCTACATACGGATGTCTATAGACATATTTTAGAGTGTAGCACTCATTTTGCTTCGTATGTAGTCCGCATTGAAATCTCTAAAAAGCCTTATATTTAGGAACAGAGGGAGTATAACATATAGAGATGTCAACAGTGCGAGATTTATTTGACCTATGAACTCTTTATTTTCTTTAATATACCATGATGGAAAAAGAAGATTAACGAATGGCAAAACCCACATGTGTAGAAATATAAGCAACAAAACGAAATAGAAACAAAATGACTAGCTTATTTTGATAACATGAAAAATGTAATCTGGCAGATAGTTGCCATATACTAAATTTATGCAAATTCTATTGTTAATGTGATAACCAAGAATAACTAGAGGAACTAACTGTAACCGTAAACTCCCGGTGTAAAATGGATGTGCCATATGAATCATAGATCACACAACACAAGTTTACCGTGGAGCTGATGTGCATGACATGGGAGTACCGCTCGATGTTCATCAACTTCTCCACCTTTACAGACCCAGATTTGGATACCTGTCAAGTCCATGCACTCATAAGAAAATTTTGTGATATTGCAGTGGTAGTAGGGCTAACACATTCCCTTTTGTAAGTCCTGGAGAATGGATATAATTGCAGCATAATAAAGCTGTCAAATTTAGTCCATGACTTGGTAAAAAGTTAAAAAGATTGCCTCAGAATGTAGAGTAGACAAAAGGAATACATACCTTGCCAACATCATTCCTTCCCAAGTCTACAAGCATAATGTGTTCGGCACATTGCTTTTGATCACTTAATAGTTGTTCCTCTTGCAATTTATCTTCATGCTCTGTCTTGCCCCTTCGTGTAGTCCCAGCAAGTGGCCGGTTAATAACCTTTCCCTATGTTTTTTACGGTGTAGATTAGCTAAAGGACAATGATGCCGTCTGGTTAATAGCAAAAAATGGGTCCACATACCTTCTCGACTTTTGTAAGAATTTCAGGACTAGATGCTACCAGGATACAACCTCTCGCCTAAAGATGATAAAGGGACATTAGCAAATCAGTGCTTATACAATGTTCTAATGGTACACAATACATATTGATACCATCAATAATTTCTTGTAATCAGATAAAAAAATACCCAAAAGATCTGGTAAATTTACCTGCACATATGCCATGTATGGGCTTGGGTTGACAATTCGTAAAGCTCGGTAAACCTCAAATGGAGTGGCATAAGTTCGCCTCTCAAAACGCTGGCTTAAAACAATCTGGAAAATATTACCGGCCAGAATATGCTCCTTAGCCTGCATAACAGCACCCTTGTACTCATCACTTGTCATGGTCGATTTGTTCAAGGGTGTACCGAACTGCCGAGTATGTAGCTTCACAAATCCTGGAGAGAGCTTGGGGCTGGGGTAGAAATTAAATTGATATACAGGTTGTAAGCACCAAACAAAAATTAGCAAAATATTATATTTAAGGAAAAGACACAGCATATCTTACACATTTGCATTGTGAACTTTAGACAGCAACCGCTTCAATCGAGACCTGCCATCTTTGTATGCTTCCTCGGTGGATGCATGCCGGTCCACACTTACCCAATGGATGACATATACTTTCTGCAACAAGCACAGAGCCACAGAATTTGAAATGAATACAAGCTTTCCACTAATTGAAATGAGGAACAAGTAAATGTTATTTTGACTAATCAGTTGCAACCTACTGAACATGGAACAACAGGAATGATGTAATTTCACTTGATGCGGTAATGAGCTAAAAAATGACAGGCTTGCACTGTTTAGTTTAGTTCTTCCTATGGCCAATGGTGTACCAATACCATGCACTACTATCGATTTGCTTCCTTGAAAAGAGATGCATAAACTGATAGTGATGAACCAAGTATATCAAATAACGTGAAAGAAGTATGAAGAACAGTAGCTGTCCCTGGCAACAACAAATCAGAATTTTGTTCAAGATGACATACTAGAAATGGATATTGAGGAATTAAGCACCTTCTCAACATTGTCAAAGACAAGAACATCATCGTAAAGCCCCAAGTGAACATCAGGGAGGTTCCTATCATCGTGGGGAGCACCAGAGAAAGGTATCTTCTTCTTTTCGACATAGCGGACTGTATCATAGGAAAAGAACCCAACCCATCCACCTATCACAAACAAGGAAAAAAATATGCAATTATTACCATTTCAACATCAGGCAACTATCATT